CTTTTCTTTTTGTTTATCTTCTGTTTACTTCTCTCTTTCTTCTCTCTCCTCTGCCTCCGTCTCTTAATCTCTTATATTTCCCCCTATCTCTATTTTTTTCTTTCCTTTCTGTTCTTTCTCTCCTCAAGGATTGCTGTTAGGGGATACGGGCGCATTTCCTGTTTTTTTTTTTTCTTTTTGTTTATCTTCTGTCTCTTTCTCTACTTTCTTATTTCTCTCTGTCTCCTTATTCTAATCTCTTAATATTATTACGCTCTCTCGATTTATTTTCTTTCCTTTCTGTTCTACTTCAATCGTTCTCTTATTTTCTTTCTCTCCTCGAGGATTGCTGTAAGGGGATACGGGCGCATTTCCTGTTTTTTTTGTTTTTTTTTTGTTTATCATCCGTCTCTTCTCTCCTTTCTTCTTTCTCCTTATTCCAATCTCTTTAATATTATTACGCTCTCTCGATTTTCTTTCCTTTCTGTTCTACTCCAATCGTTCTCTTAACTTATTTTCCTTCTCTCCTCGAGGATTGCTGCTAGGGGATACGGACGCATTTCCTGTTTTTTTTTCTTCTTGTTTATCTTCTGTCTCTTTCTCTACTTTCTTCTTTCTCTTCTGTCTCCTTGTTCTAATCTCTTTAATGTTATTGTCCTCTCTATCTTTATTTTCTTTTCTTTCTCTTCTGCCTCAATCATTTTTTAAATCTATTTTCTTTCTCTCCTCGAGGGTTGTTGTTAGGGGATACGGGCGCATTTCCTGTTTCTTTCTTCTTGTTTATCTTCTGTCTTTTCTCTCCTTTCTTCTCTCTCCTCTGTCTCCTTATCTTAACCTCTGTGTCGTTACGCGCTCTCTCTCTATTTTCTTTCCTTTCTGTCTCAATTATTCTCTCGATTTATTTCTCTTTCTCTCCTCGGGTTCTGCCCAAGCGAGAATTGCTGTCAGGGGATACGGGCGCATTTCCTGTTTCTTTCTCCTTGATTACCGTCTGTCTCTTCTCTCCTTTCATCTCTCTCCACTGTCTCCTTAACTTAATCTCTATTCTGTGTTTACCTTCTTTCTCTCTATTTTCTTTCTTTCTATTCTGCTTCAATTACTCTCTTGAATTGTTTTTCTTTCTCTCCTCGGGTTCTGCCCAGGCGAAGATTGCTGTCAGGGGATACGTGCGCATTTCATGTTTCTTTCTTCTTGTTTACCCTCGGTTTCTTCTGTAATTTCGCTTTTTGTCTCTCTCTTCTCTCTCTCCTCTATAATGTTTTTTTTTTCTCTTTCTTTTCTTTTCTTTTTGTTCTGTTTCTTTTTTTTTTTCATCTTATTTTCCAATGTAACTCTTCCCTATCCCTCTCTCTTTCCTCCTCTCTCTATCCCTCACTCATTCTTTTTCTCCTCTCTCTCCTTCTCTTCTTTTCCCTCTCTTCCCCCCTCTCTCTCTCTTCTCTCTCTCTTCTCTCTCTTCTCTCTCTCTCTCTCTCTTCTCTCTCTCTCTC